TTAAATAGGATTTAAATTAGGACTTCTGTGATTCTTGAATCTCTATTGTACTTTTCTAGGGAAGTTTTATAGACATTTAATATATTTCCCTAAATTATCAGGTACTTTAGGGCAGAGCCTATGTCTGCACTTCTATTCCCCCTATGGCCTAAGCATGATATAACTTAAATTGAAGTGTGGTTTGAAGACTGAAAATTCATTCCAGTCTAGAATCATTATTGGAAGACTTTCTGTGTCCATCAACTGAAAGCATGACTTTGGGGGGGGTCAAACTTGGGCTCATGTAAGAGAGTCTGACCCTTACTAACAGGGCAACTTCAGCCAAGTGTAGTGTATAACCTCTTGGAGTTTCAATTTTCTCAGTTTTAACAGTAATACACAGCTGATATGGTTGCTATAGGAAGTAAACAGATAACATACATAAGTACTCTGGTGAGGAGTCAGGCCTCATTACCATTATCTCTGAGGATGGTTCTAGAGACCAAGAGACACTTTTTTGAATTCATCCTATGTGGCCTGGATCATGCCCAGGAATTTTCAAAGGCAGCAACTGGACCATACTGGGAGAATTACTTGGCATGGCTTTTTTTCTTTCTTTGAGAAAAGTCAGCACAAACCTGACTTTTCTTGCAATTATAAAATTAGAAACTCCTATGTGGTACTAGGGAAGAAAAGGCAGCAATAATTTTTCTCACCAATTCACCACATATGATAACAATGAGGTAAGAAGAGGCTGTGGGGGCAAAAGCCAGGAAACTTTGAGATCAGCAGAGGGAAGGATCCAAGCATCAGGAAACAGGAGATGCTGGCGCTGCAATGACCACCATCATTTTCTCAAAAGGAACATCTGAGGGTTTGTCATGATGGCTGGGCTTTCATTGGGTATGAAACCTTTTGATTATTCATTTTCCTAAAAGTTAGAAAGTGGTGGATCTTGGGAAATCATGTGAACAAATTCCTGAAAATCCATGAGAAAAACCATGGGATGGGAGGAAAAAAAAAAAAAAAAGACAAGCCATGAAGGTTTCAGAGGTCCTTGCTGGTGCTGGGACAAATACCTGTAGTGTCTAATGTCACAGGGAAAGTGATCTGCTTTAAAAAGACAGAGGGTTTAATGGCAGGGTGAGGGGGGCTGATGGAGGCAAAGGTGCTCCCTGTTCCCCACTCCCTACCTCACTTTTCGGTATGGCTTTTAACTTACCCAAGGACATCTCTCAACTTGAAGCTTAATTCAGCTCTTAACAGCCTCTAATCTGCTACTGCTTTGCAGCACAGCAGCAAGAATGTTCAATACATAGTAGGTAAAAATTTCATCCAAGAAAATAGATTGTCACATCCCACTACCAATTCCTAAACCATCACTTGTGCTGTTAGTACTTGACCACATACTTACTAGGAAACATAGATTCAAAAGATTGTAATTGAATCTTCACCGCCAAATGAAAAGAAAATGAGTAACTTGAGTTTAGGTAAATATACCCCAAGGAGAGAAAATGGAGGTATCAGAAGCAAAGCTGGCATCAGTTGGGGTCAATGCTTCTATAGCGGATAGGACACCAGGAAAAGCTCCTAAGGATTCACATGACTGGAGGCATAAGGATCCCTGCATGGCAGATCCAAGAGCAGGAGGCCATTCTTGTCATTCCAGATTCAGAAGCTCCATGTGGAAGGGAAGTGGCCTATTATAGGATGATGCCCGGGCACCTAGTGGCACTACACGCATAGCCTGCAGTTATAGTTGGGCTACTGACCCACATGAATCTGGGTGACATCTTCTTTCTAGCCTTGGATCACTTTCTGCTTGCCTAGCATAAACTTTCAGAGCTGTCTCTGTCCCGGGAGGGATCATTGTTACCTTCAAGCATCCCAGGGCAGTGCATCATGGAGATGGTCCCCACCTGCCACGACGACAGTGGATACTGGATGGGCAGTCTGGAGGGACCTGGTGTTGGTTGCCCTGGCACGGCTTTGTCCCTCTGTGTCCCTACTTTTTTTTTTTTTTTAAACAAAAGTAGTCAAGTGTATTCCAGTCTCACTAATCCGGAAGTCAACTCTTATGACAACCTTGTGCTCAAAAGCCTGAGAAGAGGAAAGGGAATAAAGGTTACTGCTGCACATCTTAAAAAGGCTATTCATGATTCTAACACATATAGTTTGATGTTCCACTTTGCGCTGGTTAGTCATATAGATTTGATTTTCATTCAAACCAATTCACTGTATTTGTGTGTGTATATGTATAAAGTTACCTTTAGATATGAATGTTGGTGGGGGGAATTAAACTTCATTTCAATGTAGAGTTCAGTGAACACAGAAGTTGATTTTAGACTGCAATTCAAGGTTCAAATGAAGTTTCTGCTACCTCAATATACCAAATAACAAATTCTGACAAAATACTTGACCATGGAGTCATTCAGATCTTCCCTCTGCTGAGATCAACAGGGGCCAGGAAAGAAAATCTCAGCTCCCTTACATTTGTTTTTAGATATATTTTAGATGATGAATGTTGGCTCGTATGCTATTAAACAAGATTCTGCCCATTTACACATATTTTCTTTCTTTCTTTTTTAATTGTCTTGCTTTCTTACTTCATATACTTCATTAGAGTATATATAGCTCTTCTATAATATTCTTTTTAATTTTTATGGTTTCACTCTTGGATGATTTTTTTTTTTTTTTTTTGAGACAGAGCTCTGTCCCCCTGGGTACAGTGTAGCTCACAGCAACCTCCTAACTCCTGGGCTCAAGCGAGTCTCCTGCCTCCGCCTCCCAAGTAGCTGGGACCACAGGCGCCTGCCACAACGCGGGCTATTTTTTGGCTGCAGCCATCATTGTTGTTTGGCGGCCCAGGCTGGATCCAAACCCACCACCTTAGGTGTATGTGGCTGGTGCCTTAGCCGCTTGAGCCACAAGCGCTGAGCCTCTTGGATGATTTTGTAAATCTTCTTACCCAATTAGAAACACCAGCACTTTTTATAGTTTTTGGCCGGGCCAGGTTTAAACCCGGCACCTCTGGTATATAGGGCCAGAGCCCTACTCCTTTGAGCCACAGGCGCCGCCCAACACCAGCACTTTTTAGAAACAATGCATAAAAATTTTAAAAGCCTAATTATAGTCCAGCAGAAAAGTAACATTCTACAGAGGCACTGACTATGCTAGAAAGGCAGAAGGAAACTTAAATAAATTCTAAGCTTCTCTTATTGTAGGACAGAAAAAACTGAGTTCAAAGTAGGGGAAATTTATTCAGGGTCTTTAGGTAAATACAGGCAGTCCCTGAGTTACAAACATCCAACTCACATTTATGAACAGAGACTACTACAGTAAGTCTCTGAGTTCCGATTTACATTCGACTCCCACTTCCTGAGGCTATTACATAAAGTCCCTGAGTTATAAACATCCACCTGATGTTCGACTCACACTTACCAAGAGAAGTTATTACTGGTACTAGGTAAATGTACCTGTTCCACCTTAGACACAAATGTGATCTAACAACAAACTTACAGAACCTACCTTGCTCATAACCTGGAGACTGCCTGTCCTGGCAGGAGTAGGACTAGAAATTTTGACTTAGCTATCGTTTTCCCCCCTCCTCAGTCCCACTGCTTTCTTGCGTGGGGTTCTCTTTTTTCATATTAACAGCAGTTTACAAGCATTTAAGTGTGTATCCTTTGGCATTTACAGCATAAACATGCGTAAGGAAAACAGCTTTACTTTTAAAATAAATCAAATGCCTATTTAAAACATACGTGAGATAGCATCTTTCATTTAGCCAGAAGCGTGACTATGCGTGCTCAGCATAACATTCCAATGACATTCTGGAAACCGATTTCAAGTACGTCACCATGCATTTACTGGTAGGTAACAAACAAAGCTAGTGACTTTGAGGAAAAAAAATATCAATAATTTTTTACCTACCCTGAGACATCCATCTCCACAATACACCTGGGATTTATCTGACATTTACAAATTTTAACAAAATTTTGTGCTTTTCATTGTGCACATCAACTTACTAAATTCTCTTCTATAATCCAAGTAAAATAATGACAGTGACCAGTGTATTTTTTCCTGATGGAGTGAACGTACAGCATAAAGTATAGCAGGAATCAATACTGTAAGCATTATCTGGCTCCAAATATGTTGCAACAAATAGCTATGAATGTGACACATATCACAGAGAACACAACAATTCTGGATTACAGGATACTTCTAAAACCTCTTAAAGCAGTTTTTCTCAACTTTTTTTTTTTTCATTGTCATCCTCCTTCCCAAGAGGAAGATTAAGGAATAAGATTTTGTTGGGCAGGGTCATGCTTTTGGAAGCCTACAGTCCACTGTATAATCTCTGAGTTTTTTTTAACCCCAAGAACCAATTTTTGTCCTCATTAAGAATGCATGGCTTTAAGTGAATGACAATGAATTAAACAGACTTTAACATTGTTGGGGGGCAGTGGAACCTAACAGGTAACAATGGAGGTTGAGATAGGCGACTTCTAGTACTCTGTGTGGTCCATACTTGGCTGTACGATCTCAGAAGAAATCATCGCTTTATTTTCTTGTTTTAGAAAACACACAAATAGCATAAAACCTAATAGCCTAGAAAAATCATTTAATTTCACTGGACTCCACATTCTTGGCTCTCAATTTAAGGGATTGGTATAGATCAGTTGTTTTCAATTCTGGCTGCACTTCCTAAGGCAGCACTGTAAAAAATATCAGTGCTCAGCTATCTATCTACCTAGAGCTAATGTCTGGAGGATATGGTCCAATCAGAGGTTCTCAAATAGTAGTATAAATCAGAATCACCAGGAGGGCTGGTTAAAACCCAGAATGCTAGGCCCCACTTGTGGAGTTTCAGATTCAGCAGGTTTTGGATGGGGCCCATATCACTTACAGAGATGCACTGTAAGTTCTCAGGTACTGCTAAGACATTGGTCTGCACCACACTTTGAAAAGCATTATTACCATTCAATAAAAAAAAAAAAAAAAAAAAAAGAAACGCATTGGACTAGGCTTAGTCCAATTACACACACCAATATGTAAATATGTGTGTGTCTGTGTGTTTGTGTATCTCTCCTCACTGGATTCTAATCTCAAAACTAGTTGTATACAAAATATTAATAAGATTCTTTTTAATTCTGAATTTTAATAAGAGTTGTTAAACATTAAGATGATATATAGAAAGGAGACCTATGGACAAATATCAATTTCTTGGTCAATTTTCATTACAAACTTTTTTCTATAAAGGATTTTACTAAAGCATTAAAGTATTTTTTAAAAATTAACATTTTTTTTTACAGTACATTTGCTACATATGTAGTTCTGCACTTCGATTGTAAAGAAGTTTTATTTGGTTTTCAGCATCTCATCATTTGATAAGACCAAGGGAGGCTTTGGATAGTAGCCAGCTGTTTTTGAATTGCTTGAAGAGAATCTTGTAAATTTGTAGTCCAAAGGTAATTCTGGGGGGGGGGGGAGACAACCCAAAAAAGCAATTTGATTATTTCATTGGTCTCTGAATGCCTTTCATAAATTTAAACAAATCAAAATTTGATATTTACTAAGAATAAAAAATTTTAAATTTTAGAAGTTCATAATTTTAACATTTCTTTTGCCATCTGGATAGATCTTTGTGTAGCTATTATTATAAAGTTAAAAATGCTTATAAACCAAATCACCATTATAACAGCTATAAAAATGGCTTCTATGCATTTAAATGTGAACAAGATGACTATAGCTAATAGGATATCCACAATATATCAACATCACATAAATACAAATACATTTTGAGAGGTAAGAGGGAAGTACCAGGTTGTTTTTCACTTTCTATTTCATTCAAAACAATTAATTTTATTCTGTTCCCCATGTAACAGAAGAGGTCTATCATAGTTAAGAATTTGAGTATGGGAGAGCAAAACTGAAATGAGAAAACTTCTGTTAAAACAAGAATCCCCCTACTTTCCTCAACAAGTGGAAAAGAATTGTGTTTTTGTCATAGGAAAGTCATTGTTGGGTGCTTACTATCTGGAAGAAAAAAGGGATAGAGCTTTATACAGAAGCAAATTCTTTTTTACCAAAATGTTCTATGCAGCCCTGCATACTAAATATACTATGATATTAGCCATATTATCCACAGTTAGGTAAAAATTAAATGAAGTGAACCAAACGAGTAAATATTCTTACATAGTAAGTTCAGTGTAAAATAATATAGAAAGAAAAAGAACAACTCTTGGGACCTTTTCAAAAAAAAAAAAAAAAAGATCAGCAGGATAACATTTATACAAAGACTCTATCTTCAATATTGTCTAGGGTCTTGACTATCGCAGTATTTTTCTTACCTGGAGGTAGATGTTACAGTAGTATCCAACTATACCAAAGATGTTACTAAAACAATATCAAGTTCTGTGGGAGTTATAACTTCTTTATGAAAATGTGATCACAGCAGTGAGTACTGATTTAGAGACTAACACTTTGTTTTTTTGAGGAAGTAACCTGAACATCAAAATCAACAGCTGAGTATGACATAAATCCTTCCCATCCCACCGCCCCCCACCCCCAGCCTGGCCCCATACACAAAATGGGCATTTGTTTAGCTGTATTTGATGCCGACAAGTCCTAGTTTAGTATTTCCATGGAAGAAAAGCTGGCCAGGAGACAAAAGGCCTGCCAAGTTCTCTTACAGTAGGGTGACCAGACGTCCCGCTTTTGGCGGGACAGTCCTGCTTTTCAACAATTTGTCTTGCGTCCTGAGGCATTTTAAAAAAGTCCCGATTTTTGGAAAGAATGCACAAATGGACGGGAGAACAAGAAGGGAATATACGGTTTTCGGCTGCCATGTGGATATTTTGCCAGAATATGAGTTTTATATTATTTTTGTTAATTTTATAATGTTAAATTGTAATAATAACAAATAATTGCTGAGAAGTGATTATCGAGAACTGTTATCAAAGTTTGCATTGTTGTCAGGCCCTGCTCTGCCCTGTCCCCTGCCCCCCACCCCCATGTTGTCCCGCCTTACCTATGTTAAAATCTGGTCACCCTATCTTACAGGGTACTGTGAAGAAAGCTTTTGGGACATGAAAATGAAATGTGCACTAAGGTTACCACTGTCAAAGGAGATGTAGTTATTTTCTAATTTTTTTGGAGGAATATTTAAATTTCTGGAATAATGGAGGGTCATATTTCTTTGACTTTCTTATTATTTCACAAGTTTTATCGAGGTATTTTAGGACAATTCAGGACCTATAATTATCATACTCACTAAAAATCTGAATCATTTTGCAAGAAAATAAAAATGAACTGTAAAGAATGAAAAAGTTTAATTCTGGGCTGGCCCCCTCACTTAAAGTAACAAAGTCTATTTCTTAAATAGGAAAATCGTTTGTAAAAGGAAGAATTATATTTAGGTAATCTTTCTTTAATTTTATGTGTGTAAGCATGAAACTAAATGAAAAATAAATCATTCTTTTGAAACCAGTAAGAGCAAGGTATTATTTCATACTGTAGGCTATATCGACATATGTATTGGATTTGTATAGTGGCAGGAAGGAGGAATGATTAGAAGGTCGTAAGCATCATCATCAGTCATCCTACCAAAATTCAGATAGATCTGTCACATCTATCCACTGAGGAAGAAAATGTACCTTGGCATTATCACCCCCAATATAAAGAAGAATCGGACGTTCAAAAGCCTTAACTAGACTTCTACTTCTAACTTGGAGCTGAAACAACTAGAAAAGCTGGATAAAATGTAAACATCAGAGTAAAGTGGCTGGAGAGCTGAAGAGGCAGCCAAGTCTTTGGACACACGAGCCTGGAAGGAGTAATCTGCAGAAGAGGAGCTACTGCCACAGCTTCTTCCCTTTGGAACTGTAATTCTGGCTAGTGGCAGGGGCTTCTGTGGGGCTGCAGAGACAAATGTTGAAGGGTAGGAATCCAGTGCAAAGAAAAGGACAGAGCACTGAACTTCATGGGTGGTCTTCTGAAGCCTTTTGCCAAATTCCAAAGGGAACTTGGAAAGTCAAGAATCCAAGCAGAAAGCATACACCTCTGTTAAGGCAGAGTGGATGTTTTTTTCTTTCTTTTTACTTTATTATTATTATTTTTTAAATTAAGTTTGTGATAGTAGGGAAGGATTGTAAGCTCTGACCTAAGAAAGAAAAGGGGCGCTGTTGATAGCTTAGACTTTCAGTTATACAGTGGAACCCCCATCGTTTTCTATGTCCCTACGCTGACCACCTCCCAAAGTTGACCTAATTTCCCAGACCAGACATGCACCACATATACAGCATCAGTACAGCAGGCCTAGTTTCTTAGGTTGACCCTGCTGTATGTTGACCAGTTTGTTACCGTCCCTTGGGTGATCAACTTACAGAGGTTCTACTGTATTTCTAAGAACTGAGAATTTATCATTAGGAAGTAATTCTCTCTCATGTTAATGAATGTTTTCCTTAATGTCTACTTTGTTTCAAATTAACAGTCACTCATTTTTTGGGTTACCAAATACCAAAATGTAAGGCCAGGTATGGTGGTTCATGTCTGTCATCCCAGCACTCTGGGAGGGTGAGGTGCCTGAGCTCAGGTGTTTGAGACCTGAGCAACAGCGAGACTCCATCTTTAAAAGTAGTTGGGCATTGTGGTGGGTGCCTGTAGTCCCAGCTACTTAGAAGGCTGAGAGGCAAGAAGGTCACTTGAGCCTAAGAATTTGAGGTTGCTGTGTGGTATCACACCATGGCACTCTTCCAAGGGTGACAAAGCAAGACTCTGTCTCAATCAAACAAACAAAAAACAAATACCAAAATGTAGCATTACCTCTTTCCATCTTTTGAGATTTAAACCTTCAGAGTCCTTATGTTTCAGATATGTCTCTTATAAAGTACCTATAGTTGGGTAGTGTTACTTTATTCAGGCTTTTAGTTGGAGTATTTATCACCTATATCTAATGTAATACTTCAGGTTTAAATCTACCAACTTATTAAATGTTTTCCATTTGTCCTGCTGATTTTTAGTATTCTTTTTTCTCCCCTTTCTTGTTCTCTTTTGGATTCTTAAACTATTTTCCATGTTAGTTTGGTATATATATCATTTCAATACTTTTGATAGTTATCTTAGAGATTACAATGCACATGTCTGACTTACTAATACCTAATATATTAGGGAGGATAACTTATCCTTTACTGTATAATTCAATGATGTTAGAACACTGTTACTACAGCTGCCTCGCTCTGGCATCATGTACCTTAATTCCCTATTTAGGTAAATCCCATAGGACTTAATTTTTTACTGTTTCAAATAGTAACCATTCATTTTAATTTATTCATATACTTATCTTTATGTGTTGTACATTCCTTCTTTATGGTTTTTGTGTCTACCAAATTTCTCATTCCTTACTTGTCTATGTTTAATCACAGGAAACATAAGGTTATTTCTGGTAGTGTGGTCTCATATCTTTATGTGCCTGGGTATTTTTTCATTCTGTGCTCAATCTTATATAAATTGTTTTTAGAAATAATTTGAGTTCTAGAATGATCTTATCTTCCTCAAAAGAGAATGTACAATTGTTTCTAACAGGTGTGTAGCTGTATTAGTAATCTGGAATCTCCTCAATCTAACTTTAGAGATTCAACTGATTTCATAGCACCTGTGAAAATGAGAACTACTTTCCAATTCATCCGTATCCTGAAATAAAGCCCTTCAGGGTCTTGACACAGACTGAGGGAGTTCACCAGGCCCCTCTTTCCTTAGGTCCTCTCCTCTAGTCTAATTCCTATTCTTGTAGGTTCAGGACATTACTGACAGGTCCATTCTCTTTGATGCCCTCTCTGGAACCTGCAAATATCCAGAGGAAAAAGTAGCCACAAGAGCCAGTTTCGCTTTCCTGGGCTTCCTTTGCATGGTGCCCTGGTAGGTAATTCTTCTCTACTTTTGTCCTGTGCCTCCAAGCACACTTAAAAAAAAAAAATTGTCCAGCTTTTGTAGTTGGCTCCATCAGAAGGTTGCCATATTTTCCCCTGCTGCCAAATAAATCATGTTGTGGGAAGAGTTCTTATGGGAAGAGTTCTTAAAGGCCTAGCTCATTACTATCTAGCAACAGGCAAAGCTTTAAGATAATATGGTATAGGTATTTTCCTCTTACCTGCAATTGCTTCAATACTTGGAATTGCGATAGTACTGTAAGTACCGACTCTCTTAAAAGACCATGTGAAAACCAAGGAATCTTCTGTGTTTTCCAGTCCCGAAACTGAATCAGTAAAATATGAGCCCCATTTTTTAGATGAGATATTTAGAGGTTTTACCTTTGGTCCCTGAAACAAGAAAATAGAATAATGAGAACTGTGATTAACTAATTTCAATCTCAGACTTTTTTTCATCAATTGAGTAAATCAAAATAGAAAAACTCTCTATAGTCATCTACAAACAGGCTTTGGGTATACGTTACTTTTTTGGAATAAAGAACAGAGTAACCTGGATAAAATCCAAGCATAACTGCCAGCCCTGAGTATTAAAAACAATATTGACTAGACACAGCATACCTAGCTATGATAGTCATATATTAGCAGTGATAGGAAAAAGACAGGCAGAAATGTGTACACAGACTGTGTTAAAAGTTAAATCACTCAGTTGAAGAAAAACTCCTTGTTTTTTAACCTTGACTCTCTCCTTGAAGCTTGCCCCTGCACTGTGTTTTCTCATGGCTGAGACTGCAATGAAAATACACAGCTATGATTTAATTAAAAAAAAAAAAAGAAAAGAAAAGAAAGTCTGTGAGGATGATTAGGAGGGGTGACACCCTTGCCTCTCCCTGTGGAGTGCTTTTTGTGTTGTCCTCCCAGGATCCCTGAGTTCAATACGCTCTTGACTGAGTAGGCGTTACTTTGCATCAAGTCACACTGACATATTTTAAACTGGTGCTGGCTTTTTAAATGGTCAACTGGTTATTATCTAAAAACTACCCTAAACAGAGCAATCTAAAAGATAATTTTGTCCTTCAATTAATAGAAAATAAGGAAATGATACTAACATCTTACAGCCACCTAATCTTTGATAAACCAAACAAGAATATACACTGCGGGAAAGAATCCCTATTCAATCAATGAACGGTGCAGGGAGAACTGGATATCTACATGTAAAAGAGTGAAACCGGACCTGCATTTTTCTCCACCCAAAAAATTGACTCAAGATGGATAAAAGACCTAAATTTAAGGCATGAAATGATAAAAATCATCAAAGAAAGCATAGGAAAAACACTGGAAGATATCGGCCTGGGGAAAGACTTCATGAAGAAGACTTCTGTGGCAACTGTAAGAACAATAAAAATAAACAAATGGGACTTAATTAAATGAAAAGCTTCTGTACAGCTAAGGAGACAACAACTAACGCAGACAGACAACCTACCCAATGGGAAAGGATATTTGAATCAGACCAAAGGTTGATAACTAGGATCTATAGAGAACTCAAATTAATCAACATGAAAAAAGCCAACAATCCCTTATATCAATGGGCAAGAGAGATGAATAGAACCTTCTCAAAAAAAGACAGACTAATGGCTAACAAACATATGAGAAAATGCTTATTGTCCCTAACTATTAGAGAAACGCCAATCAAAACCACCCCGAGAACCCATCTAACTCTAGTGAGAATGGTCCACATCACAAAAGCTCAAAACTGCAGATGCTGGTGTGGATGTGCAGAGAAGGGAACACTTTTACACTGCTGGTGGGACTCTGAGTATGGAGAACTCTCAAAGAACTCAAACTCAAACTCAAACTCCATTTGATTCTGCAATCCCATTACTGAGCATCTACCCAGAAGAAAAAAAAATCCTTTTACCATAAGGACATTGCACAAGACTGTTTATTGCAGCTCAATTTACAATTGCCAAAATGTGGAAACAGTCTAAGTGCCCACCAACCCAGGAATGGATTAACAAATTGTGGTATACGTATAACATGCAATACTATTAGCCATTAAAAAAGATGGAGACTTTACATCTTTTGTATTAACCTGGATGGAAGCGGAACACATTATTCTTAGTAAAGCACCACAAGAATTGAGAAGCAAGAATCCCATGTATTCAATTTTAATATGAGGAAATTAATGATCTAGTATGTGGTGGAGGGTGGGGTGGGGCAAGGGAGAGCAAAGAGAGGGAAAGAGGGAGGAGGATGGGGAGTCATGGTGTCTGACACACCTTTTGGGAGTGGAGCACAATTGTAAGAGGGACTTTACCTAACAAATGCAATCAATGTAACCTGGTTCTTTGTACCCTCATTGAATCCTCAACAATAAAAAAAAACAAAAAACTCTGTTAAAAAAAAAAAAAAACAGTCTCTAATTTTATGGTTATTATGTCTTAAGGACAGTTAAAAAACAAACTTGGTCTAATTTTCTTATTTGGGATTTTAATTTGTAGAGTAGAATGAGGACAGAATTTTGTGTACCTTATTTTAATAAAGGAACATGAATTTCACAATGAATACAGCTTGCGTTAGTTTATAAATGTGATCACTCCTCAAATACAAACACTACCATTGCAATTGCTATCAGAATTATTACATATTGTTTTCAGTGTCCATGTAACATAAAACCAATGCATTGATACAAGCTTTCAAACAATGATTTAAAAAAACAATCTTCAGTTTTTAGCTACCCCCTGGAGTACTGACAGAGAAATATGTATACTTCTTCTAGGTCTAATCCTTTTCACAAATAAACTCTTCCTTTAGAGCATTTCCAAAGCATAACGGTTAGACTCCAGGTATAATTATAAACAGCACAGCCTTCGTTTCTGACTGAAAAGCCAAATAGATGTTCTCTGAAACGAAATCTGAAAATGATTTTCTTTATGGTACAGAGCTGTCAAATGTAATGGACTGACGCTTTCGTGAACAATATTCATCCCCGTCTGTTTTTGTAAGTTAACTCATAAGTGTATCTCATGCCTCTAGTCCCACCTACTTAAGAGGCTGAGGCAAGAGGATGGCCTGAGCCCAGGAGTTTGAGGTTGCTGTGAGCTATGACACCATGGTATTCAACCCAGGGTGACAGAGTGAGACTCCGTCTCAAAAAAAAAAAAAAAAAAGATATAGTATATGTATATACACATATACACACATACATATATTTCAGACTATTTTATTAGTATATCAATTTAAAAGTCCAGACTCAGTTTATGGCTTTATGGCTTTAAGGTGATAAATCACCATTGTTTAATTTGCACTTTATGAATGACTACTGGGGAGAGATGTAAGCTTTTCTCTTCAGTTAACTGCCCGATACCTTTTGTCTCTCTACTGAATGCTCAATTTCTTACATGCTAGATATCAATCCACTGTCAGTTTCATTAGGCTGAGTCACATTAAAGTACAGATGTTTACCTACTTTAGAGATACAAGAGTAGCAATGTCATAAGGTTCAATCTAAATGGACACTGCAAGCCTCTTTCCCCCGTCCTTTGCCTACTGATTAACAGTACCTCAGGTATCTTGAACAAAAATATTTAATATGAATGCAGCCAAAGTCATCAGATTTTCTATTCACTATTGTCTTTTGAGTTCTAACTTAAGAAATCCTTTCCCACTCCGAGATTCCAAAAATATTTTTATAAATTTTCTTCAATAAATTTTACAGATACATGTTTTACCTTCAGATCTACAATCCATTCAGAATTTACTTTTAATTATAGAACAAGAAAGGGCTCATGTAATTTTTCTCCATACACTAAGATCATTTACTCACTGCCATTTACTGAATTGTCTATCCTTTCTCGACAGGCTGTATCGGATACTATATTTACATGGTGACATAGAATGTGACATAGAATGTGATACAGGGACCTGTGTCTGTCTTTTTCTGTTGTTTGTTTATTGACCTTTTAATATATTTTGTAACGAGTACTATGTTAAAAAAAAAAGTACTCTGGCTTTCTAATGTGGTTAGCATCTGAGAGGGTGGGATTCCCCCCTTTCATTATTGTATTTTATAAAACTGTCTTGGCTAGTTAGGGGCCTTAAGTCTTCCATCTAACTACAGAATCAGTCTGTGAAGGTCCAGTCACAATCCTGTATTATGTTTTGCGTAACATTACATTGACTTTATAAATAAATTTGAGAAATTAGGTATCTACATAGTTTCATACCACGCATTCATAACCATAGGTCTCTCCATTTATGCAAGTTTGTATTTGGAATATTTAATGGGCTTGGCACCTGTACCACAGTGGTTACAGGGCCAGCCACATGCACTGAGGCTGGCAGATTCGAACCTGGCCCAGGCCAGCAAAACAATAATGACAACTACAACAAAAAATAGCTGGGTTTTGTGGCAGGTGCCTATAGTATCAGCTACTTGGGAGGCGGAGGCAAGAGAATCACTTAAGCCCAAGAGTTTGAGGTTACTGTGAGCTGTGACACCATGGCATTCTACCAAGGGTGACATAGTGAGATTCTGTCTTTAAAAAAAAAAAGAAAAGAATATTTAATAGAGGCTTAAAATTTATTCCATCAAAGTCTTCTGTATTTGTTAGGTAACTTCCTAGACAGTGATTGGCTGTTGTTGCTTTTACAAATGATTTGTTTTTTATTACATTTTGTAAGTGGTTATAATTAGTATAGAGAACAGGTCTTGATTTCTGAAAGCCAATTTGGATCCAGCATTCTGACTGAACTCTCTTCTCTTTGTTTTTTGATTCACTAAGGCTTTCGATGCTAATAATCATATGACCATGAAATTATGACATAAGTGTCTTACCTTTTAATCTTATCCAACATTTCTTTTTCCGTTTTTGTGGTGTTAGCCAGATCTCTGTTACACAATATAATTAATAACAGGAATCTCTGTTTAGCTTAGAACCTTAAAGGGCACATTAAATATGGCCTTTTCCCTCCTTAAATTTCCCCAGTACCCATTATATTACTGCCGGAGGATTTTGGTAGATAGCCTTTCTCTAATTAAAGGATCGTCTCTTTTTCTTGTCTGCTAAGAATTTTAATCATTAAAATGAATTAATTTTCCATTAGAATTTCATGTTATTTTAAAAAGTCTGCACATGCTTTTTGTTTTTAGTCAAAATGAAGGAACACATGACAACATTAATGAAGGAAGCAGAAAAGAGTTTTTCTTTGCATACAGGAGGCTAGTTATGTACAAATAATTACAGGTATAATAGAGGGTATAATTGGTTTATTTCAGGAAACAAAAATAAATTAAAACAAGTTATTCCTTAGTGTCCTTAACTAGGCTAACGTTAATCATTAAAATGTATCGTTTTTGCTTATCTGACCTCATGCTTTGAAATAGTGGCGTGGGTGATCAACTGATGTATCATGTTAGAAAACGTTTTGTTTATACGCCTTTAAAATTCTGTTTGAGACAGTCTCTGTTCTTTTAGTAAGCTTCTTGCCATAAAGAGAGGTGAAAGTGATCCTCAAACTCCAAATGACTTAATCTAGAATGGAAATTACTATAAAGATTGGGGACATTGAATTCAAACCTGAGTGAAACAAAACATTAATCTCCATAAAATGTATAAATCTAAATGTTTGGTTCACAACATCAATCTTAGAATGATATGATTAATTTGGTTTTTAAATTATATTTTTAAAGTTTACTTAGGCTGAATAAGTAACTGGAATTACAGAATTAAATCCTTTTGCATTTGGACTTTGTACTCACCAAAGACTGTCTCTTATATATAGGGTGACCAGATTCTAACATCTGTAAGGCGGGACAACATGGCCAGGGGGCGGAGCGGGGGCGGAGCACAGGGCAGGGCCTGACAACAAGGCAAACTTTGATAAGCAGTTCTCAATAATCACTTCTCAGCAATTATTTATTATGGTTTAACATTATTAAATTAACAAAAATAATATAAAACTCATATTCTGGCGAAATAGCCATATGGCAGCCAAAAGCCATATATTCCCTTCTTGTTCTCCAGCCTGTTCGTGCATTCTTTCCAAAAATTGGGACTGGGACTTTTTTAAAACGCCGCAGGACGCGGGACAAATTGTTGAAAAGCAGGACTGTCCCGCCAAAATCAGGACGTCTGGTCACCCTACTTATATATGTTCTGTGCTTGACATCTGGTTGGAAAAACTAAACTACACTTTTTTTATCACACAACAAACAGAAGAGTCCTCAGAAGTGTTTTCTTTTTAGCTCTGTTTATGATCTGTCTCCCTCCTGCTGTAGTAATTGAAGATGTTTATGTTTCTGTCCCTTTCACAGGGAAGCAGGAAAAGATCTGAATGAGGTACAGTACTTACTGTTTGATTTTTATTTATTTTTATTTTTTTAGACAGAATCTCACTATGTCACCCTTGATACCATGTCATGGCGTCACAGTTCACAGCAACCTCAAACTCTTGGGCTTAAGCGATTCTCTTGCCTGAGCCTCCCAAGTAGCTAGGACTACAGGTGCCTACTACAACGCCCAGCTATTTTTTTTGTTGCAGTTGTCATAGTAATTTAGCTGGCCCAGGCCGGTTTGAACCTGCCAGCCTCAGTGCACATGGCTGGCGCTATAATCACTGTGCTACAGGTGCTGGGCCATGATTTTTATTTTTGTTTTTGAGACAGAGCTTACTCGGCCACCCAGGCTGTAGTACTATTGATTCAGCCTAGCTCACAGCAACCTCAAACTCCTAGGCTTAAGCCATCCTTCTGTCTCAGCCTCCCAAATGTTTCTGATGTGCTGCTTTGGCCTTTGGGATAGAAATGTGCTAGGCAGAAGAACAGTCCTAAACTGTCCAAAGCAGTCTGACTGACTTTGTAAGTTGTGGTTCTAGGTTTATGTCAAAAGATAATTTATGGCTCATGCCTATAATCCTAGTATTCTGGGAGGTCATGGAAAGTGGATTCCTTGAGCAAGAGTGAGACCCTATCCTTATTAAAAAGAGAAAAACTAGCTGAGAGTAGTGGTACACACTTGTACTCCCAGCTGCTCAGGAGACTGAGGCAAGAGGATCGCTCAAGCCCAGGAGTTTGAGGTTGTTGGGAGCTATGATACCAGGGCATTCTACCCAGGCAATTGAGTAAGACTCTGTCTCAAATTAAAACAAAAAAGGTAATATGTGAAAAAAACCACATGACTGTTTCATTTGCCTTAAATATATACAGAAAAACATGTGATAGAAGATTTTCCACAAAGAAGATAAAACAACTAAGTTGGCCTAGAACATCTGCTAAGGTTGGGCCCATTAATATAAATACTGCCTCAAAAATGAACTACAGAAACAGGAGGGCATTCAGTCTGACCAGAATACTTTTGGAGTCAAGCAGCATAAGGATACTTTAGATTTCAAAGGTTAAGTGTTTTTCTTTTGAGGAAAGAGACAAAGGGAACCCTTACCTCATATTTTCCTTTCTTCTCTAGAGGCTCTGACTCCTCAGGCCTCTGACTCCTCACAACTTCGTCCCCTCGGAGTTCTTCCAGTATGAGGACTGTCTCCCAATGGCTATAGTGACGGGCTGGGAAAATATCCGAATGCATGCTGTCACCAAAATAAACAACCTGCAAGACACACAGCAAATCCTGTTTGAGGCAGAGAACTGTGAAAAAGAAAGGCGTTCATTCCAAGGAAGACAGAAGAAAATTCCTCAACAGGCATCGGACAGAGTACAACAATCAAAAATGCATAAACACTTTAAACTTCCCTGTATAACTTCAAAGGTGACCAGCGACTTGTTTCATTTGAGTCACTGGGTGCCAGCTATGTGTTTCAAAGTTGCACAGCACATTTGCAGGTAGAAGAAAGCAGATGATAAAATACATGATTTTATTCAATTTTCCTAAGGAAGAAGTGAACTTACATATTTTCATATATGTTTACAAAGACACCTGCCCCTGGACTTGAAGAACTGATGAGATATTAGAGACAACTTGTTATTGTTAAGTTGCAGATTGTAAAGACTGTATATCATGAACACTTTTCAAGAGTTTCTGAGGCGAACTTCCCCAGATTTGCTGAGACAGAATTTCTGAGGGCAGGCAGGGTTGGACATGTGAAATCTGGTAATCTAAGGCAAAGCTCCACTAATCTGGTCCACACCCCTCAAACTGCAAATGAGAAAATAAGGTAAAGGAATATGAGAACTAGAACCTCTGAGTCAGGATGTTCCAGCCTCTAAGCACCTCTGAAGTCCCCAGGGGACACTGCTGTGTGGGAGCCAACAGAGCAGGGCTCCGTCAGTTACCCAATGACCGCTCTATTCATGGGACTCCTGGTAAATATTTTTTAGAAGGAAGGACTCTGCTGTTAGAAATGCACCAATGCTCAACATCAACAACGTGATCAACTTGTCAAAAGCAAGCATATCTTTAGGTTAATCTGTAGGATAATTTCAATTATTGCTTATTTTACCTATAATATTCTTGATGGACTATTATTAGAATTTCATTCCTCAGCTATCCCCCCTCATCTAGTGTACCCCTGAGATTTGTGGTTCCCTGTTTGGAATCTTTGTTCTTTTCTGTTGCAGATAAAGACACAGTCTACATGGACAAAGCAAAGGCTTCTTTAAGCAGAAGAAGTAAGAGGAGAGGTTGAGGGAGATGGTTCCATCCTAGTTATCTAAGCTGAATGCACTGAGAATTATGGTTTCAGTTTATAACTGCTTATGTCTGCAAATGGGTACCATGGACTCCGCCTCAGCCAGAAGGTACCTTGGGTTCAGGTTTGCCAGTCATTTTCTTCAGAAGTTCATAGAGGTGGACAGCGTTCCCCTGGGAGTACCAGCCAGGTTTATCCAGAGACGGCAGGGCCTCTTGCTCCTCATCATTCTCTGAAACACAGTGCCAATCATTTACTTCTTAATCAAGGGAGAGAACCCAGTTGTACACATCACACTTAGGATACAGCTGCTGGACAGTATGAAAGAAACCATGTGGAGAAGGGAGTGGGCAATCAGGGAACACCTATGTATTATAAGCACTTTATGGGTATAATTTCTTTAATCCTATGGTCTTCTTAATTGGGGGAAACAAGGTTGAGGGAAGTTACTTTGCCTAAGATCATAAAACTGGTAAGTGATTTATTCAGTGATTAGAAAGACTATTTGACATCATGTTCCTACATTTGCAAACCACTTTACTAAACAAACAACCTTATGGAAGCCATTAGGTCCTATTTGTTTAGACTTGGGGATAGGAAAGAAGTTTTTATCAGTAGTCTTTCAAATTCAGGCTTATAATTTGCACCCTAGGTACCTCAAATGCTTTATTCTAGGGTGGGTGTGTGTGGAGTTAAAGAATGATGGAGACCAAGCACAAGTTTGTGGACCATCCCAAGCTGCCTCCTCCCAGGACTTGAACGTCCTCACTCCAGTCAAAGCAGGGCTAGTGAAAGAGGTACAATGTCTTTGCCACTGTAGATCTTGCCAACTACTCTATATCTTGTACACAGGCTGAAAGCTGAAGACAATTTACCTCTTAGCAAGATGATGGAGATTGAGTACGAATTGATGAAATGGATGATATACTAGAGAGGAGATTTTGATAGCTATTGGCACAGATTTGGAAATTGTATGAGAAAATAAAAATCCCCTTTCCCCCATATTAACTGTACAATTTAGACTTTAAGAAGAATTTTTTGGTCCCCTCTGCAGTGCCTCTGAGAAGGTTCCTAATGAGATATAGTCCCATGTTGCATACAGGTGTTATTATATACTGAAGCTTATATAGTAAGAGATCTCTTAGAGAACACATATAAAATTAACAATACAAAATCGCTGTGGTCCTGCCAGGACTTAGAAGGGACACACGATGGGTACTGAAGATTAAGTTTCACTGGCTTCAGTGTGAGTCAACCCTGGAGCAGGACGGGCGGGTGGGGGGGGGGAACAATGGGTCTATGTAGAAAAAAGGTGGCAAAGGTAGGCAAGTCTGTGATTAAAAACACATCTCTGGCACTGTTGGTACCTTTAAGTAAAATCTCCAAACCACTGCCTAGAGTATAACATAAGCCACCTTGAATAAGGGACTGGAGAATTTAAGATTAATAAATGAACTGTTGGTTACTATAGTTGCAATGGAATGGAATGCTATTGAGACAGGGTCTGGCTATGTTGCCCAGGACAGTCTTAAACTCCTGGTCTCAAATAAGTCTTCCAAAATGCTGGGATTATAGATGTGGGCCACTCTAACCAGTCCCTTTACATATTTTTAAAAAGTGTCCCTATGGCCAGGTACAGTGGGTCATGCCTGTAATCCTAGCACTCTGGGGGGCTAAGACAGGAGGATCAGTTTGGGTCAGGAGTTTGAGACTACACTGAACAAGAGAGTGAGAGAACTCATCTCTACAAAAACAGAAAAATTATCATGGTGTGGTGGTGCATTATACTTTAGTGCAGAGAACAGAGCAAGACCCTATTTTTTTTTTAAGAGATAGACTGTTGTTCTGGAGTGCAGTGGTGTTTTAGCATATGATATCCCTCTTATGAGCTAATTTCTGCTCCCCCAAATTCCTATGTTGAAGCTGTAGTTCCCAACACATCACAGAATGTGACTACAGAGTAGAACTTCCATAGGTGACCACCTCCCTATATCGATCACCTCCTTAAGTTGCCGTAATTTTTGTAGACCAGGCATACAACACATGTATGTAACAGTACAGTAGACCTCATTCCTTATGTTGGCCACTTCTGTATGTGGTCAACTTCCAGAGATTCTACTGTATTTAGAGATGGGACCTTTAAAAAGGTGACTAAGTTAAACGAAATTGTTAGGGTGGGCCTTAATCCTATATAGTATCCTTGTAAGAAGCGGCAATTAGGACACGGATAGACACAGAGTAAAGACCATGTGAAGATAAAGGAAGTCAACGGCCATCTATAAAGGAGAGGAGCTTCAGAAGAAACCATTGCTGTCAACACTTTGGTCTAAAACTTCACAGTCTGTGGAATGGAGAGAAAATACATTTCTGTTGTTTAAGAGAACAACAGATATTTGTTGTTCTACATTACATTTGTTGTACAGTTGGTAGTACTATATACATATATATATATATATATATATATATTTTTTTTTTTTTTCTTTGAGACAGAGCCTCAAGCTGTTGCCCTGGGTTGAGTACAGTGGTGTCACAGCTCATAGCAACCTCCAACTCCTGGACTTAAGCAACTCTCTTGCCTCAGCCTCTTAAGTAGCTGGGACTACAGAGTGTGCCATCAAGCCTGGTTAATTTTTCTGCTTTTTTGTAAAGACAGAATCTTGCAATGTTGTTCAGGTTGGTCTAAACTCCTGAGCCTAGTAATCCTCTTGGCCTCCCAAAGTGCTAGGATTACAGGTGTGAGCCACTGCACCCAGACTTTGAATTTTATTCTGTTATAGGTCTGATGTTCCATAATCTAATCGTCTTTTATTGACAGACATGAGGTTGTTGCCAATCTTTCTTGTTACAAGGAAAGAGTTACAAACATCAAAGGATCCTCTTGGCCTGGTTAGATCCAACAGAATTTGAGCTGGAAACTCAGCTCATTTTCTTTCTCTTCTTGCCTCATTGTTTTATTTCTGCCGTATAATT